ACATCGGATTTGAGCTCAGTGATGAACCGCTGTTTTTTTTCGGCTTCTGATAGGTCCGTGATTTGGTCGAACAATGCCTGAAGTGATGACACATAATCCTAAACAGAGGTCAACTGGCGACAGGTGTCCAGCTTTGTGCGTGTGTTGTCCGAGGCGCATATGGGCTTGAAACGTTCACGCGTAGCTGTACCCCACGCTTTCCATGTGCAAATCGCGGTCGATTCGAAAATTGGTGTTGCTTCTTGGACAGAAGATTCATAACTCCCAAAAATACCCTGAGTGTTCCCTGCCGAAGTCCCCCTCTCACTTATCGTCGATCGCCACCAACCAGTGCCGGTCCCTTCAGTAGTGAAGCAATCTTTTTGATTTTTAAATCATCAATACTAATTCCAACGGCAGCAGAATAAAGCTCATTCGCAAAAAGCCATCCCGTGATGGTGGTGTTTTTGTCCATGGAGTTAAACGGGGGCGGCATATGTGGCTTTATCTTGGCCACTGGTATAGTTGGTGTGGTTGCGGCTGCTGCTGAGACTGTTGCTGCTGCTTCGGAGCAGGCGGCGGCCGTTGTCGCAGCTGCTGCAGTTGACGTGGCACGTGCAGCAGCATTCGTTGTCGCTGCTACTTCATCATCATGGCGCTCCTGCGATACTTCGTGTGCGATCTCGTCCACAACTGTTTCGACACGTCCCGTGCTAGCGGCGTCCTCAAGGGCGGGCAACTTCTGGTGCGTAGTCTCTTGCACCTGGAGAAGTTCGGCAACTTCGGCGCGAAGTTTTTCGTTGTCGTCTAGCACAGCTGTCAGGCGAGCCTCCGTGGCAGCGAATTTTGCCAACAACTCGTCGAACTGTGCCTGGCCCATGTGGCGGACACTATGCCGGGCAGGCAGGGGAGTATCCATGATTCCCGTCGTTAGGTAAGAGCGCAAACCCTATTGTAGTTGGGCGAATAAATTTGTCTTACGGTGAATTCTTATGAAGTAGGATCAGAAACAGAAACGTGAATTTGATTATTGATTCCTTGCCTGTCTATTCTGTCGAGATCAAAAGCGAGGGCAGCTACTTCACCGTCACATAGGGACGTCCGATTGGTTGCTCCTACCAACACATTCGGGGCAGGCCCCAACTCGTGCTAAGCAAACGCCGCGTTTCGAAAGCGTGCCAACGAGCGACGCGCAGCGAAACAAAATAAATAAATAAATAACAAAATTAATAAATAACAAAAAAACAAAAACAAGCAAAAAAAAAAAAAAAAAAAAAACATCATGTATGGCACATCGCAGGCACAAAAACAAATTTTGTTTGTGCTTCTGCTGGTTACAAATTTCCCCTGCTCGTGATTTGAGCGCGCATTTCCCAGTCTGATTCGGCGTGGCAAGGATTTTGCTACTGTACTGTAAACTTGCATGTTCTGGGCAGTCGAAGTGATATTTTTTTGTTGAAAGGGATGTACACGTAGGATTGTGCGAGCCATCCAGGTTCACATGCGAAACTCATTTGCGATCGTTTTCTAGGATTGTTGATCCGCGTGTAGCAAAACGGCAGGATCAGGATGTTAGAGAGCTAAGGAGCTAGCTAGGCATAGGAAAGGTCGAAGGTTTTAGCTAGAGAGAGATATTGACGAGGGAAAAGAGTGTCGACTAGGAAGAGGAAGAGATACACGAAGGGGGGGGTTGTCCCCTCTACAATAGGATCCAGTAATGTAGCACATCTACCAAGCCAAAACAATTATATATAGCATATATATATAATTTGACACACCCCCTAGGCTTGGTAATGGTAAGCCCACCCCACACATAACACCCCCAAGCCCTTGCACCCCCAAGTCCTTCAGCAATTGTGGCGTTTACCAGCGGGCCAACCCCTCGGCAATCGAGGCGGCGACTACAGCTGCGGGTCGCAGCAGCTGTGGGTTGCAGCGGTGGGTCTTGTTCTAGGTCTCCCTGGGTCGTTTCTGTCGTGCAGAGGGCATCACCCAAACGTTCACCTTGCTGAACTCTCCGCAGCAGAATGGGGTCGTAGAGTGACGCATCGGTTTGGTCATGGAGGTGGCTCATACCTCCATGATCCATGACGGTGCACCCCATTTTCTGTGGCCGTTCGTCGTCCGCTACGCCGCTCACCAGCTTAACCTCTGGCCGCACCCTCAGCGACCGCAGGTTTCGCCGACCCTCCTCTGGACCGGGTCTCCTGGTGACGTGTCTGCGTTTCACGTCTTGGGCTGCCTTGCTCACGTTCGTGCCTCTGGCACGGACAAGCTCACTGCCCGCACCGTCCCCTGTGTCTTCCATAGTTTCCCCCTCGACTCTTCTGAGTGGCACTTCTACCACCCGCCGTCTCACCGTTTCTTTCACTGTCGCGACGTCACCTTTGATGAGTCCGTCTCCTTCTACCACCGTTTTCCCCACCGTGGTCCCCCGGTTACCCCCCCCTGTTCCTGGTTCCCCCTCCCCCGCTAGCCCCTGCTTCCCCACCTCCCCGCCCTGCCCCGTCTAGTGTGTCTCACGTCATCCCCCTCCAATCGGTTGTCCCGGTTGAGGAGTCTGCTGATTCTCGTAGCCCTCCAGCGCAGTCTTCGCCTCCTGCCCCCTCCCCAGTGTCTCCTCCTCCGCCGTCGCAGCCGCAGCCGCCGTCGCAGCCGCCGTTGCAGCCGCATCCGCCGTCACAGCCGCAGCCGTCGTTGTCGCCGCCGCAGCAGCAGTTCGTGCCCTCTCGGGGTGCTGGCATTCAGGAGGGTGCTAGCCCTGGGGTTCCTTTCGTGGTGTGTCCCGGTGGGCCTGGGGGTGGTGTCGGTGCTGAGCAGGTCTCTGGTTCTGGGGGTGTTCCTTCTGGGGGTGCTGGAGTGGATTGTTCCGGAGGTAGCCGTGGAGCAGCTGGCGGTCCAGGTGTCGGCATCGTGCAGCCGCAACAGCAGCGGTCGCCACCGGTGTCCGCCCTCCGCTTTCTCGACCTTCCCTCCCCTGACCGCGCGTCTGAGCCTCTCCTACCATCCCCTCCTCTTCATGTCTACGGCCCTGTGTTCCCTCCTTCGGACTCGTCTCCGGCTCGTTTTCCCCCTCGTTCCCCTCTTGTATCACCTCCCCTGTCTCCTGACCCGACGCCCCCGTCGCACGTCTGGTCTCGCCGTCCCTCTCATGCACGTCCGGTCTCCCCTGTCCCGCGTTCCCCACCCTATGTTGCTTCGTTCCCACGTGTCTCGTTCTCCCCTCCTGCCGTCGCCTCCTCCGTCCTCACTTGTTGCCGTGCCTCCCCCTCTGTCTGACTACCTTTGTGCCGCTCGTCCTCTTGTTTCTTGGGTCCTTGCCTCTCTCGTTACCGACCCGTCTGTTCCTGTTTCAAGACTTGACGCACTTATCGCTGCTATCGCTGACTTTGCCTTTACCCGCCGCCTTGATTACGCCACCGCTCTAGTCTCTGACCCTGCCTGTCCTCCGTCCATCGGGGGGTGCTCCTGCCCTCGGCAGTGACGTCTTGGAGAACCGGCAGTACGAGCTTGCTTTCCTGTCCGAGGCTGCTCCCCATCTCTGCTCCATGCTACTCGTCCCTCAGGTTGACCCAGACGCCTTCGACATCCCGACCCCTCGCACCTACGCTGAGGCCACCTTGGGACCCTGGGCCTCTCAGTGGATAGCTGCCATGGAGCAGGAGATGGCATCTTGGAGATCCACCGGCACCTACGTCAACGCAGTTCCCCCACCCAGGGTGAACGTAGTCGATGGCCGCTGGCTCTTCAAGGTGAAGCGCCCCCCTGGAGAGCCACCTGTGTTCAAGGCACGCTACGTGGCTAGAGGCTTCAGTCAGCATGAGGGGGTGGACTTCTTTCAGACCTTCGCCCTGATCCCGAAGATGACTACTCTTCGGTCGCTGCTATACGTAGCAGCACAGCGTGACTACGAGCTCCACTCCCTCCACTTCTCCACAGCTTTTCTTTAGGGCAGCCTACATGAGCAGGTCTACCTGCGCCGCCCTCAAAGCTTCACTGGTACCTTCCCTCCTGGGACCCAGTGGCTCCTGCGGCGCCCAGTCTACGGCCTGCGACAGGCGCCCCGTGAGTGGCACGACACGCTACGTGCCACCCTAGCTGACTTGCAGTTCTTTCTGTCCTCGGCCGACCCCTCGCTCTTCGTTCGGGCTGGCCAGACCCCGTTCTACATCCTTGTTTACAAAGACGACCTGGTCTTCGCCACTGCAGACAGGGACGCACTGGCCTTCGTGAAGGCAGAGCTTCTGAAGAGACACACCTGCACTGACCTAGGAGAGCTGCGCCACTACCTTGGCCTGCAGATCTTCAGGGACAGAGCAGCGCGCACCATCACTCTCTTACAGTCACACTTGGTGCGCCAGGTCCTTCAGCGGTTCGGTCTTCAATTCTCCTTTACACAGCCCACACCTCTGCCAGTTGACCACAGGCTCTCAACTCCTGTTCCTGAGGAGTCAGTAGAGCCCAGTGGTCCTTAAGCAGTGTTGGTGGGTTGCCGCATGTACCTAATGACCTGCACTCGCCCAGATCTCGCATACCCTCTCAGCATCATGGCTCGCTTTGTGGCCACAGGCAGGCACTGACCACAGCACTCGTCGGCCGCTAAGAGGGTTTTGCGTTATCTAGCAAGTACATCGGGCATGGGGCTAGTGCTTGGAGGACGTAGGCCAGTGGTCCTTACTGGGCACACAGACGCTTCTTGGGCCGACGACGCTGAGACCCTCAGGTCCTCCCAGGGCTACTGCTTTAGCCTTGGTTCAGGTGGTGTTTCGTGGAGAGCTACTCGCTCCTCGTCTGTTGCCCAGTCCAGCTGTGAGGCTGAGATCTACGCTGGTGCCATGGCGGCACAGGAGCTCCGCTGGCTGACCTTCTAGCTCACCGACTTAGGTGAGCGGCCTAGCTCCGCCCCGGTCCTGTACGCTGACAACAGGGCCATGGAAGTAACTAGGCTAGGAGGAACAAGTAGGAAGCCATGGAAATGGCGTGAGGGTTTAGGAGCTAGGAGCTAGGAGAGGAAGTTTGACGAGAGAAAAGAGAGTTTACTAGAAGAGAGAGAGGCATACAAGGAGGGAGTTGTACCCTCTACTGTAAAGTTCAACCAAGCCTACCAATTATATAACACAATATTTAATTTAACACGTAGCTCCCACAAAAGAATTGTTAACTACAAACAGGGATGCAAAGGTATTTCCTAGACGCAACAAACAATCCATGGCAACACATGGAGCATGATGAGCATGTAATGGGTACAGAAGGGGGCCCCTGGTTCCTTGGTGCGCATTGCATGCTCGTCACACTGATCCACACACACACACACACACACACACACAGCCTCAAACACCCCCCCCCCTCCACCACCCACCACCCCCCCCAACCCCCACCCCCCGTCCCCATCTCACCAGCATGTTCCCCATCCCCCCCTCCTTGGTATGCCAACGCACTCCTTTCCCCACTGTCCACTAATTTCCTACACCCAGAAAGCAAGAGAAGCGTCAAGCGGCAGCAAGGGCCATGCTCAGCAGCCGGGGGCACCGTTGAGCTCCATCCTAGGAACACATGGCGCCTTGGTAACCGAGACTGTTACGCTATCCCGCTCAGCATGTCCCTTGCTGCTGCTGCCGCTGCTGCTGCTGTACACTCCTCCTTTCCCCCCCGTTACAATCACCTCCAGCTGGGCATCATCTGGGGCGACCACCCTGAGCCCATTGGCCTCTACAGTGCGCATCTCCTGGCACAGCGCGCAGCAGGGGCACGCCACCCACGCGCCGAAGTCCGAGAATGCCTTGTGCCCACACGCCCACGTGTTCGCGGGCAGGTCGAACGTGCGCCGCAGCTTCCACCGCCAGTACCCGCCGTACAGCAGCCCCATGAGCGCCCCCGTGGCGCCAAACCCAATTGTGAGCGCGCGCAGCGCAGGGTCCGTCATGTAGCGCGCGGACGCGGTGAACACGAGCGGCGGGGCGAGTAGGAAGAGGAGCAGGTTCAGCGCGTGGAACAGCGGGTGGCCGAACCCCGCGCGGTGCAGGTGCCACGCGAAGGCGCACGGGCAGCAGAGCGCCACGCGCGCAGCGATGCCGCAGTCGTCCGCCGCGCTGCACAGCGACCCCGCCCACTCTGGCACTTCACTCGCGGGAACTCCGCGCGCTGCTGTGGCTGAGTTCTGCTCGCCTGTGCGCGGCTGCCAGACGGCGCGCTTGTCAACGTGGCGGCTGCTGCTGCGCTGGCTGCGCGAGCGCTGCAGGCGGGCAGAGCCGAGGCGGTGTGCGGGATGGTGAGGGGATGCGGCAAGGTGGCACGACACTGCGCGGGACGAGGGGGACGAGGGGGAAAGCACGGCAGAAGGGGGGAGGGCCAGCGGCGGACAAGAGAGACGATGGTCGGTGGATTCTGCCTGGCAATAGCGGTCAGTGGGGGAGCTGTCTCTACCGCTACTGCCCGTGCTTCCACTGCTGCTGCTGCTGCTGCTGCTGTCCGTGCCGTCGCTACCTCCCTCGTCCCCAGCGCACGAGCCACTATCGCCGTTCTCCTCGTCCCGAAACAGCGCTCTCACTACGCTCGCCCTCTCCCGCCTCTCCCTTCCCCCCGCCCCCCACTCCTCCCCGCCGTCGCCTCTGGCCCGCGAGCTAACTTCCCCCAAACCGCACGCGTGGGCGTCTTTCTCCGCCGGACATGCGCGCGCGTTGCGACTATCCTCATCCACCGCCCTCTCGCCGCGCTTATGCGCCTCAGGCGGAGCCGCAGCACCGGCACTCTCAGCGGGAAGCGGGCGGGCGAGCGGGCAGAGCAGGAAGTAGGCGCCCGCGACAGTGCCCAGGCCGAACGCGCCGAATATGAAGAGCAGCACGGGGAAGAGACGGCGGTCGTCGGGGGCGCGCAGGCACAGGCAGAGGAAGATGCCGTACTGGCTGATGCACGCGACGTTCAGTAACCCGATCACCACCGCCATGTGGCGACGCTCGTGAGGCTTCGCCACCGCGGTGTCGCCCCGCGAGAACACTTTCCTTAGGCTGATCACGTCGGACGGCCGCCAGCGGATAAGGCGGAGGAGGTAGACGAGGCGCGTGGGGTGCAGCAGTAGCGCGGCGACGGTGCCGGCGGACTGCAGCACCTGCGACGAGAACTCGAGCAAGTCGGCGCGCGCGCGGTCCGACGTGAATGCCATGCGGTACATGCCGGTGAGCAGCGCGAAGACGCCGCACGCCATGGTGACGATGACGACCACGTTCACGAGAATCGGCAGGTGCGGCGGATGGCGGATGTACCCGCGAGCCAGCCGCAAGATGGCGAAAAGCTTTTCGCGAAAAAGAGCTTTCGTTGATTTGTTTTCGGGCGACTGAATCGGCGCGTTTGCCCCTTGGACGAGGCTCTTTCCATCTTGGACCACAATGTGTGGCGCTAATGCGTTGCTCGATTCCCCGTTCGCGTGGGTATCGAGCGACTTACTAGGTGTGGTAAGCGGGCTTGACGACGCGCTGCTAGACGACTCGGAGCCGCTAAACGCGATGGACGACGACGATGACGGCGGCGGCGATGCGTCGCTGCAGTCGCTCGAGTGCCGTACGGAAGTGGACTCGGGGGAGTCCCGAGCAGACGAGAGGAGCGAGGGCTCGGCGATGGCAGTGGACGGCGAGGGAGGGGTGGTGCGAGAGAACTCGGGGTACGACGCGTCCATGGCGGTTGAGGCTCGTTGTGGTTCGCGCAATGTCTGATGGGGCGAGCTCCGTGCCACTGCGCGAGTGAGAGGTGGAGGGTGAGGCAGAGTTGGAATCAACGAGATTCGCCTGGAAGAAGTGGCATGATGCAGCTGTCAGTGCTGAGGTTGGCGTTCACGTCAGAAGAGGCAGAGAGGGAAAGAAGCTGACCGCACCAAGGCCAATTGCCAGGGTGCGGTGCGCCGCCGTGCCGCCCACGGCTAGCCCGAGATGAAGATGGTCGTTGGGGCAGACGGGTTCTACCGAGAGTTCTTGCGCTCGTTTCCGCATCAGAAATGTTTAACCGAATAACCAATCTGTAACGAAGACCGAGATTCCAAACACAAGCAACACTGTTCTGTACTCCCGTGCTGTACCAAATTGCGAGGGAACCTGCTCGCTAACCTCGTCACTTAGATAAAACCATTTCCAGACGAACATTTTGTTCACTACCCAGCCTAGACCTCTTTTGGCCCTGGGATGCGAACCGGGAACAAGGACAGATCCAAACCACAAATTCGTCACACCAACGTGTAACCGAATGCAGCAACGCTACTTGCTCCGTTAGGACCCGTCAGTTCACTCAACGAGGACGTTTCAAAGAGGTGGGAGGTGATTTGTGTACATACAAGATGCTTATTGCAATGAAGCTCAAAGAGCTCTCATAATAACGCAATGACTAGAATGAGGCATACATGCAGGTTTTGTGCTATGATGCTGTACTCTCTATAAGCATGCACCTATCTAGCCTATAACAAAATATAAATATGTTGACACACCCCCTAGGCTAGACCAAGGGCAGTGCCTGGCAAGAGACACGCAGTTCAGGGTGGCACTACTTGACCAACCTCTGAGGCAACGGTCCGAAGACCACTCAGAAGAGTACAAACTAGACAAAAACAAACTAGGGCGGCACTTCTAATCCGGCCACTGGAACACAAGCCACAAGGCCAGTTAGGAGAATACATAAAAGACTAGTACACAATCAAGGTCCTAGCCAGTGAGGAGCTACTGGAACTAGACCAAGCTGTACACAGTGCCGCTGATGATCTTAACGTGCAAGCTGTTGAAAGGAGTTTAGTAGCTAGGTAGTTATGAGAATGGTGAGAGGATTGAGAAAGCTTGCTTTCTTGTCCTTTGCGATAGGCATCGTTTGTTAAGACTAGAAAGAATAAATAGAATGGAGAACAGGGGAGATATAGCGTCTGGTTTGTACCCACTAAGAACATACCCTATCTAGCCTATAACTTCTACATAACAATATATGTATAAGTTGACACACCCCCTAGGCTAGATAAGGGGTAGTGCTGAGCAAGAAACATGCAGCTCAGGGTGGCACTACTAGTCCAACCTCAAAGGCAGAGGCACGAACGTGAGCGAGGCAGCCCCAGACGTGGAATGCAGACGCGTCACCAGGGAACCCGGTCCAAAGAAGGGTCGGCGAAACCTGCGGCCGCTGAGAGCGAGGCCAAAGCTGGTGAGCGGCGTAGCGAACGGCGAAGGGCACACAAAATGGGGTGCACCGGCATGGATCATGGAGGTACGAGCCACCTACATGACCAAACCGATGCGTCGCTCAGCAACCCCATTCTGCTGCGGGGACTCTGGTAGGGTGTACGTCTGGGTGATACCCTCCACACGACAGAACTGACCCAGCCGACCAGAGGTGAACTCGCCGCCACGGTCGGAGTGGAGACACAGCACAGGGAGATCACGGTGGAGGCGCACAACGATGAGCCACGGGATAAGAATGCCAGGCACGTCGACCTTCCGCTCCAGGGGAAACACCGTGGTGTAGCGCGTGAAGTCGTCAGCGAGCACCAGAAAGTAGCACTCGCGACGCGGTCTCTGGATAGGGGCTGGGCCCCAGACGTCCAAGTGCAGGGTCTGAAGGGGTGCAGTGACAGGGCGAAGTGAGGAAGAGTGAGGAGCACGGTACAGCCGGCCCTTGACGCAAGGCGTGCACGGCGGTGCAGGCGAGGGAGGGAGAGCAGGGAGCGATGTAGGGAGGCCGAGGACTAGACCGTGCTGAGACATGTGACACAGGCGGGGGAGCGCAGGGTGACCTAGGCGGTGGTGCCACAACAGTGACGGGTGAGTGAGCGACCGACACGAGCAGTCCGCAGCTTCCTGGGTGGACGCAGAACCGGAGGAGGACTCACCCGCCGAAGGGGGAACAGTGTCGAGTGTAAACAGGCCAGACACAGGGTCCCGGGGGAACGTCACAAGGGGCCAATATGTGGCAGCCTCGGAATAGACCGTGTACCGCTCGTGACCAGGGAACGTAGTGGTGACGCCGAGGTCCTGAAGACAGCCGACACCAACTAAGTTCCTGGAGAACGAAGGGATGTGCAGGCCTACAAGGGAACCTGAGGGAACCGCCGGACAAGGAAGGGTAGTGTAGCTGCGAGCAACTACAGGACTAGAGGAGGGATCCGCAAGGGCGACAGCGGCAGACGCAACAAGCGGCGTGAGGGCGGCGTGGTCATGGAAGAAATAGGCTGACGCACCAGAGTCTAGAGTGAAGGACAGCGGCGCCATAGTGACCGACGACGGAGGAGCAAGGGTAGAGCCTAGGCTAGACAAAGCAAGCTGTCCTACGCCTGACGCAGCAGGGGAGTCTGAACTACACACAGGTGCTACGCCTAAGCTAGAGAACAGAGAGTAATACGATTCGGAAACACTTGAAGCGTCAGCATATAGAGAATGCAAGGCAGAACTAATCTGATCCATGTCTAAGTCAAACACAGGCACACCGTGGCGCAACAGGCTGGGCCAGTTAGGGAGGTCCGAGGCGGGACCAAAGCGGCGACGGAAGAGGTCGTCGAGGCGGCGGAAGCAGCGGGCGGTCGGGTGCAAGCGGCGGCACGCCGTGCCACGCAGGGGCCCGGTCTGAAGCTGGTACTACTGCTCACAGCACCGAAGCTGCCGGTGGACGCCGAGCTGCGAGGGCCACCACCACGACCACCACCGCCAGGGTCTCCTGGCCACCCGGGCGGGAGACGAGCCCACGGCTGCTGCTGCTGCTGGGACGGCTGCTGCTGCTGCGGCGGCTGCGACCGCGGTGACTGCTGCTGCTCCTGGGCACCAGCGCCAACCCCCTCGTCAGAACTACAGTCCCCGCCACCACCACTACTAGCGCCACCTCCACGTCCTCCCTTGGGGCCACGGCGGCCCCGGCGCTGGCGCTGCTGCGGGTGCGCCGCAGCTGCTGTCTCAGGTGCAGGCGCAGTCGTGGCAACATCGGCGGAGACGTCACTGTACGTGCACTGGGAGGGGGCACAGCCCTAAAAGATAGGGACTGCCACACTACCACTCGACTGAGCGATAGTGCGCTGGCGAGTCTCTATCTGAGACAGAGTAGTGACAAAGGCGGCCAGGGTGAGGTCGGTAGGGTGCTGACCAAGGAAGTGGTCGCGGGCAGTAACTAAGCGGTCAGGCAGGCGCATGGCGATGAGGTACAAGGTAGCGCAGAAAGGTGGGGGGAAGGCAGTAAGCTGGGAGGCAGAGCTAGCAGCACGGTAGCTGGTCTCTAGTGCACGGAGGTGAGTAGCGAGGTCAGCTACCGTGGGGAAAGCAGAAAGATCAGGGAAGAGCATGGGTAGGATCAAGCGGCCAGCAGAGGCGGAAGCAGGTGTGGAGTAACGCTCAACTACTGCAGCGAGAAAGTCCTTGGCGTTCATGACAGCGGTAAAGCGCGGACGCTCAGACAGGGGGAGGGCATGGCTAATGGCAAGCTGGGCTACTGCATCGCGAGAATCCCAGACAGCTCGAGCAAGCGCAGGAGCAGCAAAGGCCTCGCTCTCAGCAGTGGTAGGGTCAGCAGGGAGGGGATCAGGCGCAGGGGGGCGGGGAAGCAAACCATCAACATGCATAGCCAGGGAGTGCACATCCTAGCGCTGTCAGGTGCCGGCGGAGGTCGACGAGCCAGGCGGCGAAGTCGATCGCGTGCCCCTCAGCGTCCAAGCGAAGAACGGCGTCCACCATCGCACGGTGTGACAGCGACACAGCGGCTTAGCGGCGCAGCGACTCGGTGGCTCGGCTGCTCGGCGGCTCGGCAGCGCGGCGGCGGGGCGGCTCAGGGACACGGCGGCACGGCGGCTCGGCGGCTCTGCAGTATGGCGGCTCGGCGGCACGGCGGCTCGGCGGTACGACGGCTTGGCGGCTCGGCGGCGCGGGTGCTCGGCAGCTCAGCGGCACGGCGGCTCGGCGGCTCAAGGGGCCGGCTAGGGCACAGGGGGCTGGCTAGGGCACAAGGGGCCGTCAAGGGCGCGTGGGGCCGACTAGGGGCGGGGGGGGGCCGGTCGGAGCACGAGGGGCCGTAGGGGCGCGAGGTAACGAGGTCTATCTTATCCCAAGGGAATATACCCTTCTAGAAAATAGAATCACCCAGTGTATAGCCACGCGAGACTATTGGCTTTAAGGGATTATAGGCAGGATTACGCTAGATATAGCGCGCCAGTACATCCCGAGCGTGGTCGGTGATATAATCATAATAATAGGATAAACCAAATGATAATGAAATAGGAAACCAAATGAGATGAGATAAAGACCGAATGAATTAGGATAAATAGAGGAATGAGATGGAAAGGAGAAAGGAATGGCACTAGGGACTTGGGGGGGCCGGTCGGAGCACGAGGGGCCGTAGGGGCGCGAGGGGCCGGCTAGGGGCGCGAGGGGCCGGTAGGGGTGCAACGGGGCCGGCTAGGGGCCCGATGGGGCCGACTAGGGGGCACGAGGGGCCGGTAGGAGGCGCGATGGGGCCGGCTAGGGGCGCGAGGGGCCGTAGTGGTGCGCGGGGCCGGCTAGGGGCGCACGGGGCTGGCTAGGGGCGCGACGGGGCCGGCTAGGGACGCAACAGGGCCGTAGGAGCGCGACAGGGCCGGTAGGGGCGCGACAGGGGCCGGCTAGGGGCGCGACGGGGCCGTAGGGGCGTGATAGGGCCGTAGGGGTGCGATGGGGCCGTAGGGGCGCGACGGGGCCTGTTAGGGGCGCGACGGGGCCGTAGGGGCGCAACAGGGCCGTAAGGGCGCGACGGGGCCGTAGGGGCGCGTGGGACCAGCTAGGGGCGCGAGGGTCCGGTAGGTGGCGGCAC